AAAATGTCTTCTTTTGTGTTCAACAGAAGAAAGAAACTCACACAGGGTTGGAACAAGTGGAGGGTGAGTAAATGATGATTTTCATTCTGGAAGTGAACTTATCCTTTTAGAACAATCATGTCGTCTGTTTCGCAGTGCAGATGGATTTTGTTGATACGGATTTAATTTGATTGTTAAAAGCCATATATTATTGTATTCTTCTAACAGAATTTACTGATCAAATCTAAGAAATTGACATTAAGAGATCATGCATAAATTTAACAAGGTTAGAAAAGGGGGCAAAATTCTTCCAGTAAAGTACTTTTACATAAAAGTTCATTTCACACTGCTGTAACCTGACCAACGCACAGAATATGAATATGAGCCTAAAATAGCTCTAAACAATTTGTATTCATACTTGTGAATTACCTTGATGTTACGTAATTTTAGGTAGCCATCTAATCAGCCTTGATAGTAGGGAAAGTGAATAGGCCTATAGGGAAAGTTTCTAATACCACATTAAGCGTATTGGGTAATTTACAGTTCTAAGATATAATTAAAAGCAAACTGGTAGATCCAAATACACAAGTATTTAGATTAAAGTAAATAAAACAAATAAATTGCTAGATCCAAATAGAGGCGTGTAGTTGATTCAGCTCCAGCCTGCCAAACAAAGCAAGGAGTGAATCCGCTAAACTCTAAGAATTACAAAAAAAAAAAAATGATGATGAAAAGAAATTTTGAAATGCCACCAAATGCCCTCTAACACCCGCACTAATGTTCCCTCAATGACCCTCTGCAGTTTCCAGCACTGAGCCCACTTTAACTGCAAGACATTAAAATTACAAGATCACAGGACTGAACAGTTTGAGTTGTTGTTGTCTTCTTCTGCTTCTACTTCTTCTATGGATTGTGTTGTTATTAGCAGTAAGCAAAGACACTTAGGATGAACTACCGCCACCTGCTGGACTGGAGGATGGAGCTTCGATGCGCAGGGAACAGAGCTTAAAGTGTTGCTACCACTGATCTATAGATGTAATAAAGGAAGCTTGCTTATGTCTGAGTGGTTGTAATAGGGCATATTACATTAAAACAGTCTCAGGTGAATGAATATAATAAAGCATTTGACGCTGCAGTTGGGAACTAGTTTGACACTTGCTAGGAACATCTCAGTAGTTAGGTTTTATTAGACTATTTACAAGTAACTGATTTAATTAAAAGATTGTGAAAATGCTACATAATACATTTGTTTGCCAAAATGCCAACCATTATAGAGAGAGGGAGAACGTGTTGAGCTGTTCACACAGAACGTGTGTTTCCGTTCCACTGCCCTGCTTTTACTGTGTTTGCTTGATCAATTTTCACTTTTTGATTATGACTGTAGCCAGTGTTGTTGCTGTAGTAAATTTGTGTGTTTGATTTTAATTTCCCATTTTGAGTAAAAAAAGACGGGGGCTGTTAGGTCAAACACAGAACCCAAACAAACCCAAACTAGTGATGGGAAGTTCGGATCATTTTACCGTCTCGGACCTTTGAGTCTCGTTCAGCAAAATGAATGAATCTTTTTTCGAGTCATTTCGTTCATTTCGTTCATTTTATCTAAATATAATTAAAATGTTACGTGTTACTTCCCTAATATGTCTACTACTTACGCAAACGTTGATCACACTATAAACAATGCAAAACTGCTATAAGAAAAAAGAAAATATTAATTAATTGTTTACCTGGGTCTTCAGTCTATGCATGAAAGATTCGTTCAAAGTGAACGAATTGTTGAAGAACGACCCAACACTAACCCGAACGGACAAAGGCCTTCAAAATTTTCCATTTTTGATTCATTGTTGGGTTGCCAAAATTACCCAAATTGGGTTGTTTTTAACCCATGTGTAACATCTTAAAATGTAAAAATGACTGCAAAATTATGTCTTAGATTAGTCTTTTTACGCGTTGCGTTGCATTGCGTTGCATCGTGCCGCGTTAACATAAAACCATGTCTGCATTTGTGATCTGAGAAATGACAAACAACAAGTGCTACTCTA